TCCCTCCTCCCTAGGGAAAGCCTGCGTTTATGCTAACTGTGCGCTTTTATGCGAAAAGTGGAACAGAAGACATTGACAGTTACCATGGTAACGGAGCAACGCGGGCAGGACATGCCTGTCTACGGCGAAAGTTGACGGACAGCGAAGCAGCATTCAAATAATCATTATAATTTAACCTAATAACAAATGGAAGGGTAGGACTTAGAACGCATGTTTTTAAGCAGAAGTAGACGCCTAAAATACAACTGGCTAGTGGCAAGTTAACTAAACTCCGTTAAACCAGCAGCCAGTCCGAAAACTAATACGACGATCACCATAAAGGTTGCAATAGAGCATACAATTCGAACAGCTTGATGGGGACCCCGGCACACGGGCATTTAAAAGCCATGAACCCGCCTTCTTTTCTTCTTCCTTACCTTTGGGAGATGATGAACGCGATGACACATCTGGACCCCGAATCTTTCGGCATATAAAAAAAGCATGATAACAAGGACCAGATAAGGTCGATGCCGTAGTATAGTAGTATGAATCTAGCAAACTTTCGTTTACTGTGCTGCGGAACGAAACGTTAACTCCATTACAAAACGAAGTGATAACCAAAAATGAAGGGAAAACCAGATGGATGGGACAACAAGGTAAAGGAAATATACAGCAAGTTTTACTGGAAAGAGGACACGTCATCGGAAAAAGAGCAGTTAATACTACAAAAAGTAGGTATCTCTTAAATGTCTCCCAGACGCCGGTAGGACACGGGAAAAGGAAGCGCTCATAATACGGGTGGCTTTGGAATAAATTCTGGAGAGAAGTGTTAACACTTTTTGCGCTTAATAGCGTGCTGGAATAAAATGGCTGAAAATACGGGAATAAGAAGCCCCCCTCCCATTCGACGGTAATAGGGGTTGTCTTGAGCAGCATTTCAGAAAGGACAAATATTCCCATGTCCTAACCCTAACGCAAGCTCTAATCCTAAACATAAGTCTAGCCCGAACCTTAAATCTACCTAAAGTCAAAGGCTTATCTCGTTAACACCAGCCTTAACCTCCATGGAAGTAAGCGCAAGGTTTCCATTTTCAGGTCGTCGAAATTGCTTTAGTTTCATCTACTGATCT